CTCCTCCTTCTCCTCCTTCTCCTCCTCCTCCTTCTTCCCCTTCTCCTCTTTCTCCTGCTCCTCCTCCTCCTTCTCCTTCTTCTCCCACTTCTTCTAGGAGAACATTCGGGATATTACGGACGCCTTGATTATGCAAAGCCAGGGGAAGAAATTTGCAACCAATGCCCGTGTTCAGCTCCCGGAAGAGAAGATAATCAATCTTGTGAATGATGTTCTCGGAGCCAGTAAGCTCATCTGGATTTAGCGTTCCTGATCATACAACCATCAGAGGTGCCCTGCTGGACCAGATGGGTGGTCCATCTTGTCCAGCATCCCTGTTCTCAAAGTGACCATACTGCTTCGTGCAATTCTTTCAGCTCTTGGGGCTGTTAGGGCTGGACTTTGGAACTGAAGTCCAGGACCCTGGTTCTGGAAGGGGGCCCCAACAGCAGGCTGTAGCTAGCAAGCCCTACTGAGCACAGTGGGGTTTACTTCTGAGCAGATAGGCATAGACTATAGTTCTTCTGTGTGTGTATCCGTACCAGGTGGGATGAACTTTCTGGATTCTGCACTTGGCATCTGTGGTGTACAAGCCCATTGGATCCAGATCCTAAAATTCCCTCATATTTGCCAGGTCCAGGGAAACTCTTGGAGGTTTGGGGGTGGAGCTTGGGGAGGACAGGGACCTCCGTGGGGTACAATACCATAGAGTCCACCCTCCAAAGCCACCATTTTCTCCAGGGGAGCTGATCTCTGTAGTCTGGCTATAATTCCAGTGGATCCCCATGTCCCACCTGGAGGCCAGCATCCCTACCATTACTGTTGATTTATCTCTGGCTCTCTCAATGTATCTGTCCAGGTTTCGATACAATGACGACAGCCTTATCCTGGTGCCTCATGTATCTGGTGGCCTATCCAGAAGTTCAGAAGAAGATCCAGGAAGATCTAGGTGAATCAAGTCTATATGAAGCTAGCTGCCTTATATTGAATCAGATCATTGGTCCCTAGGTCCACCATGGTCAAGGCCAGTATTGTTTACTCAGCCTGGCAGTGGCCTTCCAGGGTCTCAGGTTGAAGTCTCTCACATCTCCTTGATTGAACCTGGGACCTTCTGCATGCCAAGCAGATGCTCTATTACTAAGCCATGTTCTCAGGCAGAGGTATTTCCCATCACCTACTACCTGGTCCTTTTGAGTGGAGATGCCGGGGGTGGGACCTGGGACCTTCTGCATGCCAAGCAGATGCTCTATCACTAAGCCATGTTCTCAGGCAGAGGTTTTTCCCATCACCTACTACCTGGTCCTTTTGAGTGGAGATGCCGGGGGCGGAACCTGGGACCTTCTGCATGCCAAGCAGATGCTCTATCACTGAGCCAAGGTCTCAGGCAGAGGTATTTCCTATCACCTCCTGCCTTGTCCTTTTGAGTGGAGATGCCGGGGATTGAACCTGAGACCTTCTGTGTGCTAAGCAGAGGCTCTGCCCCTGAGCCATGGTCCCTCCTCAAGTCCTCTTCTCTCACTCCATGGGGTGGATCCTGCCCCTCTCCTACCACTCCACTCAGCGAGGTTTAATTAGTTAAAATATTTATAACCCACTTTTCCTTTTGACTCAACTTGGAAAGCTCCCTCCCGTCTAAGGAGACCTCCTCCGACTTAAGTAGCTCTTCCACAGGAGGGAGAGCTGTTTGAGCTGAAGGCTGTGATCACATGCACCTTTAGATCTGACATAGGTGTGAATGCCTAAAAACGTCCGCAGTTGTCGGCAACCTGTGCTGCTCTGGCACAGAAATGGAGCTAAAAGACACCGGGGAATGTCCGGTGTTATCCTGATAAGGCGGGCCACGGGCAGTCTTTCCCGTAGCTTCAAAGGGTTGTGTGATCTTGCAACTGCGTGTCAAATTCCTCCAGAGGAAAAAGAGGAGGAGGAGACTGTATTTATACCCTGCCCTTCACTACCCAAGGGAGTCTCAGAGCGGCTTACAAACTCCTTTCCTCTCACAACAGACACCTTGGGAGGGAGGTGGGGCTGAGAGAGCTCTGACAGAAACTGCTCTTTTTCAAGAACAGCTCTGACAGAACTACGGCTTGCCCAAGGTCATCCAGCAGGTGCAAGTGGAGGAGTGGGGAATAAAACTCGGTTCTCCTAGACTAAGTTTGGTGCACTTAACCACTACACCGAACCACTCTGCCTCAACTGGCGCATGTGATCGCGGCCAAAGTCGCCTTAGCCTGGAGCTAGGCTAATTGGCGAACAGTTGGATCGTTTAGTCCCCCCCCCCGCACCCCAGTCATAAGAACATAAGGGATGCCAATGTTGGATCAGGCCAAAGGCCCATCCAGTCCAACACTCTGTATCACACAGTGGCCAGAAATACCAGGTGCCATCAGGAGGTCCACCAGTGGGGCCAGGACATTAGAAGCCCTCCCACTGTTGACCCCCCCCAAGCAGCACCAAGAAGACAGAGCATCACTTGCCCCAGAGCCCCTATCTATACCTTGTGGCTAATAGCCACTGATGGACCTCTGCTCCATATGCTTATCTAATTCCCTTTTGAAGCCCTCCATGCTTGTAGCCGCCACCACTTCCTGTGGCAGTGAATTCCAAGTGTTCATCACTCTTTGGGTGAAGAAGTACTTCCTTTTATCCGTTCTAACCCGACCGCTCAGCAATTTCATGGAGTGCCCAGGAGTCCTTCGGGAAGGCAGGATTCCCAGTCATTCCTCCTCTTCTCTGCCCTGCAGACCGAACTATCGGCAGTGAGAGGATGCCACGGCTCTCCGACCAGCCTCTGCTGCCTTACCTCGAAGCCTTTATTTTGGAGGTCCTCAGACATTCATCCTTCGTACCTTTCACGATCCCCCACTGGTAAGTCCCTGGGTGAGTTCGTTCCAGCATCAGACTAGTGCATCAGTCTGAGCAGGGAGCTGTCCTCATAAGGGAAGCTCAGAGCTAAGGAGGACAGACGGGAGGAAGCCCCAAGTGTGGGCTGCGGTTGTGCGGGTAGGGCAATTGGCGCGCTTTGCTAGACCCACCAAGAATTTGGGGTAAGCCCATGATTATGTAGGTGCCATCGAGTCAACACCGACTTATGGTGAACCCAGGAAGGGGCTTTCGAGGCAAGGGAGAAGCAGAGGTGGTTGGCCATCGCCTTCCCCTGCAGAGTCTTCCTTGGTGGCCTCCCTTCCAAGACTTATGGTGATCCCAGCGAGGGGCTTTCGAGGCAAGGGAGAAGCAGAGGTGGTTGGCCATCGCCTTCCCCTGCAGAGTCTTCCTTGGTGGCCTCCCTTCCAAGACTTATGGTGATCCCAGCGAGGGGCTTTCGGGGCAAGGGAGAAGCAGAGGTGGTTGGCCATCGCCTTCCCCTGCAGAGTCTTCCTTGGTGGCCTCCCTTCCAAGACTTATGGTGAACCCAGCGAGGGGCTTTCGAGGCAAGGGAGAAGCAGAGGTGGTTGGCCATCGCCTTCCCTTGCAGAGTCTTCCTTGGTGGCCTCCCTTCCAAGACTTATGGTGATCCCAGCGAGGGGCTTTCGGGGCAAGGGAGAAGCAGAGGTGGTTGGCCATCGCCTTCCCCTGCAGAGTCTTCCTTGGTGGCCTCCCTTCCAAGACTTATGGTGATCCCAGCGAGGGGCTTTCGAGGCAAGGGAGAAGCAGAGGTGGTTGGCCATCGCCTTCCCCTGCAGAGTCTTCCTTGGTGGCCTCCCTTCCAAGACTTATGGTGATCCCAGCGAGGGGCTTTCGGGGCAAGGGAGAAGCAGAGGTGGTTGGCCATCGCCTTTCCCTGCAGAGTCTTCCTTGGTGGTCTGCCTTCCAAGTACCGATCCCGCTTAGCTTCCGAGATCTGAAAAGAATGGGCTATACCATGCCCCCTTCCTTCCCCGGCAAGCCCATTGCCAGGATAATATATTTGGGACGTTCTGTAAACGAAATAAATTCTTTCAAAAATAACCCAAAACACGAGATTGTATGTAGGCAGAGGAACCGAGGAGGTGCTTTTTCCAGCAAGAAAGCAGCAGGGGAGGAAAGGGTTAAAGATGCCCCCTCCCCTCCTCCCCTTAAACTGCTCCGTTCCTTGATAAAAAAATAAAAATAAATACTATGCAAGTTGAGCCCCAGGCACCAGTCAGGATGCAACTACAGAAAAGTTTGCTTTTATAGATCCCAGCGACTCATTTAACACCTTTGGTAGCGCCACCTTCTGGTTGGATTCACACGGGCGCTGAACCAAAAAGGGACTTACCAGGTACTGGGTTTCTTTCTACAACTTCCCAGCAGTGTTTTTAGACAAAAACATGTGAATGAATTTCGTTCTCTCTCCCCACCCGGGTTCCACCAGCACAACCAGAGAGACTGCCTTGAACGGCTTCTACATCCCGAAGGATATCTGCGTGTTTATCAACCAGTGGCAAGTGAACCACGATGCGTAAGTCGGGACGCAGATTCTGAGAACGCTTTCAGGGGCGCGTGTTTGTGTGCGTGTCAAATGCTTTCAAGTTGGAGCCAACTTATGGTGACCCCAGCAAGGGTCTTTTAAGCCAAGGGAGAAGCGGAGGTGCTTTGCCATTGCCTTCCTCTGCAGAGCCTTCCTTGGTGGTCTCCCTTCCAAGTACTGACCGTGCTTAGCTTCCAACTTATGGTGACCCCAGCAAGGGGCTTTCAAGGCAAGTGACCAAGCAAAGGTGGTTGGCCACTGCCCTCCTCTGCAGAGCCTTAATTGGTGGTCCCTCTTCCAAGTACCGACCCCGCTTAGCTTCCAATTTATGACAACTGCAGCAAGGGGCTTTCAAGGCAAGTGAGAAGCAGAGGTGGTTGGCCATGGCCTTCCTCTGCAGAGCCTTCCTTGGTGGTCTCCCTTCCAAGTTCTGACTCTGCTTAGCTTCCAACGTATGGTGACCCCAGCAAGAGGCGTTCAAAGCAAGTGACCAAGCAGAGGTGGTTTGCCATTGCCTTCCTCTGCAGAGCATTCCTTGGTGGTCTCCCATCCTGCTTAGCTTCCAAGATCCAACGAGATTGGGCTGAACTATACCATTCCACGTTCCTTCAAGGGGGTAAGCCCCACTGAATAGATAGCATTTACTCCTTCCCCCCCCCGAACCCTGCCCTCCCCAAGCCCCACCCTCAAATCTCCAGGAACTTCCTACCCCAGAGTGGGCACCCCTATTCATGAGCATCCACTGGAAAGGTCTCTTCTTTCTGTTTCAGGAAGCTATGGAAGGATCCTTCCTCCTTCCTCCCCGAACGTTTCCTACTTGCCGACGGGACCAAAATCAGCAGGGCCGATGGCGAGAAGGTCATGGCGTTTGGGCTGGGGAAAAGGAGGTGCATTGGGGAGTCAATCGCTCGTTCTGAGCTCTTCCTCTTCCTGGCAATCCTGCTCCACCGGCTGGAGTTCTGCGTCCGTGACGGAGAGAAGGTGGACCTAACGCCCTGCCATGGCCTCGCCATGAAACACAAGAGGTGCTACGTCCAAGTCCGGCCGCGACTCCCAAAGAAGAGCTCTGACTGAAATTGAGAAGCGTCCTTTCCCAGAAGACTGGGTGGAATTCTGAATATAGTTTTCGGTGGTACTCTCAGGATTTAGATTTGGTGCATGTATATTGGTTCCTTTCTAGCATATTATTGCTTAAACCAGGGACTGGGCCACCTCCACTTAAGAACATAAAAAGAGCTTTGTTGGATCAGACCAGCGGTCCGTGCAGATGAGCATCCCGTCTCACACGGTGCCCAGCTAGTTCCTCTGGGGGGCCAACAACAGGGCAGAGAGGCCAAGGCCTGCTGGATCAGACCAGTGAGGGTCCATCTAGTCCAGCATCCTGTCTCACACGGTGGCCAACCAGTTCCTCTGGAGGGCCAACAACAGGGCAGAGAGGCCGAGGCTTTCCCCGATACGAACATCAGAAGAGCCCTGCTGGATCAAACCAGCGGTCCATCTAGTCCAGCATCCTGTCTCACATGGTAGCCAACCAGTTCCTCTGGAGGGCCAACAACAGGGCAGAGAGGCCGAGGCTTTCCCCGATACGAATATTAGAAGAGCCCTGCTGGATCAGACCAGTGGTCCATCTAGTCCAGCATCCTGTCTCACACGGTGGCCAACCAGTTCCTCTAGAGCAGGGGTGTCAAACATGCAGCCCAGGGGCCGGATCAGGCCTCCGGACGGCTTCCATGAGGCCCGCAGTGGAACTGGCCATCTCCTGCTTCCAGTTCTGCTGCTGCTGCTGCATCATAGCTTGCTTTGCCAGACCCTCTTAATCACTCAGCCATTTCATGTTTTAACTTAGGTCCTAGAACTCAGAACTCTGTGCATGAGATTTCTGTGATGAATGTCAATAAATCAAAAGTAGGTTTGCAGCTTACAGAGCTAATGTTTTAAGCATGTTTTTATTTTAAGTAAAAAAACCCAACCTTTGTGTTTGTGTCCTTTATAAAGTTTATATCACCGCTACCTGGCATTACATTTTATGACACGCATGGCCCGGCCCAACAAGGTCTCATTTATGTCAGATGCGGCCCTCATAACAAATGAGTTCAACACACTTGCTCTAGAGGGCCAACAACAGGGCAGAGAGGCTGAGGCTTTCTCCTGATAAGAACATCAGAAGAGCCCTGCTGGATCAGACCAGTGGTCCATCTGGTCCAGCATTCCTGTCTCACACGGTGGCCGATCAGTTCCTCCAGAGGGCCAACAGCAGGGCAGAGAGACTGAGGCTTTCCCCGATATGAACATCAGAACAGCCCTGCTGGATCAGACCAGTGGTCCATCTGGTCCAGCATCCTGTCTCACACAGTGGCCAGCCAGTTCCTCTAGAGGACCAACAACAGGGCACAGAGGCTGAGGCCTTCCTAAGAACATCAGAAGAGCCCTGCTGGATCAGACAAGTGGTCCATCTAGTCCAGCCTCCTGTCTCACACAGTGGCCAATAACAGGGCATAGAGGCCAAGGCCTTCATAAGAACATCAGAAGAGCCCTGCTGGATCAGACCAGTGGTCCATCTGGTCCAGCATCCTGTCTCACATGGTGACCAACCAGTTCCTCTAGAGGGCCAACAATGGGGCAGAGAGGCCGAGGCCTTCCTAAGAACATCAGAAGAGCCCTGCTGGATCAGACCAGTGGTCCATCTAGTCCAGCCTCCTGTCTCACACAGTGGCCAATAACAGGGCATAGAGGCCAAGGCCTTCATAAGAACATCAGAAGAGCCCTGCTGGATCAGACCAGTGGTCCATCTGGTCCAGCATCCTGTCTCACACGGTGACCAACCAGTTCTTCTAGAGGGCCAACAACGGGGCAGAAAGGACGAGGCTTTCCCCGATACGAACATCAGAAGAGCCCTGCTGGATCAGACCAGTGGTCCATCTAGTCCAGCCTCCTGTCTCACACGGTGGCCGACCAGTTTCTCCAGAGGGCCAAAAAGAGGGCATAGAGTCCGGGAGGAATGTAAGTCCCTCCCCAGGTCCCACCCTCAAATCTCCAGAAATGTCCAGGGCCAGTGTTGGCAACCTGAATTCCGAGAGGTATGTGCTCCATAGTGAGGTGTGAGGACCTCCAGAGACAACTACGAAGACGATCGTTTAACCTGCAAATGACCCCCACACGGTCTTCTCCCACATAGTGCTGCCAACCTCCAGGTGTGGCCTGGAGATTCCCTGCTTGTACAACTGATCTCCTGGCAACAGAGATCAGTTCCCCTGGAGAAAATGGCTGCTTTGGAGGGTGGGCTCCATGGCATTGTACCTTTCTGAAGCCCGTCCTCTCCCTAAACCGTGCCCTCCCTAGGCTCCGCCCCCAAATCTCCATAGTTGGCAACCAATGCGCCCTCTAAGCTGTGGAGTCTTGTGAGCAAAAATTCTACTTTGTGAGCTACTGGCATTAAAGTGGTAAGCGAGCGATTTGGCCACTGTATAAACTAATTTGCTCCGGAGCCCTCCTTCCTGAGCTAAGACCAGGCGTCATTTGCTGCAGGAGCGCACAGGAGCGGAGCTCCGGCAATAAAGAGCCAAGGGGGCGGGCACATGCAACAAGCCCCACCCCCTGCTCCCAGCAGCCCTCAGTCACAGCAAGAAGCAGCCAGGTAAGCTGCAGAGCCCCCCCAGTCCGAAACAGTCCAGTGGCACCTTTAAGATCAAGTTTTATTCAGGTACAAGCTCTCCCTCCTCTGCGAGGACAGATCTGCACCTCCCCCCCCCCAATAGCTAGCAATCCAAAACAGTCCACTGGAGCCTGAGCAGTGGGTGTTGCCTTCTGACACACTTCCGGTGATGTCAGGGGGTGTGGCATATGCAAATAAGTTATGCTAATGAGTTATGCTAACGAGCTCCTGCACTTCTTTTTCTACGAAATGACCCCTGGCTAAGACAAAAATGTGTGAGCCGGGGGCTAAAAAAATGCGAGCTGGCTCACACTCACTCAGCTTAGAGGGAACACCGCCGGCCACCCTCTATCCAAGTTGAGATCCTCTCAGTTCACAGCAGAGGGGTTCCCCTGCTCAAGTTTCTTCCCCGTGGAGGACCACATTGAAGAAAGCGGCACTCCTCCTGACGGACGGACCCCACCCCTGGCCTCTCAGCCTCGTCCCTTCTCCCTGTTTGCTGTGGAGGACGTGAGTGGCAAAGGGGACAACCTCTGCTTCGCACGCGAGCCTGGGCAAATGGTTAACCTGCGCTTGGGACAAAGTCAGACACCAGAGCTGGCTTCTGCCCCGCTCGGCTATCTGAGAAGTGTCGACACTCCGGACATAGATAAAAAGGGAGGCTGGCATGAAATCCTTCCTCCCCAAGGTATCGGTGAGCTCCGCGTGCAATCCCAGTTGCGTGACAACGGCGGGGTTGAAGGACCGGTGGACTCTGTTCACATGCCGATCTTTCCTGTCCTTGGGTCGGATCCAGACGGTTTCCCCGCTTCCATCTCAGCCTCGTTGCCAGGCTCCGATCCACCTGGCTTTCATCCATGCCGGGTATTCGATCCCCCAGCAGCACAGACTTTGTGGGTGGTTAAAGGCCAGGGGTCATTTTGTAGAAAAAGAGGTGCATTATTAGCATAACTCATTAGCATAACTTATTTGCATATGCCACACCCCCTGACATCACCGGAAGCGTATCAGAAGGCCACACCCACCGCTCAGGCTCCATTGGACTCTTTTGGATTGCTAGCTATTGGGGGGAGGGTGCAAATCTGTCCTTGCAGAGGAGGGAGAGCTGGTACCTGGATAAAACTTGGTCTTAAAGGTGCCACTGGACTGTTTTGGATTGCTAGCTGTGGGGGGGGGAACATGCAGATCTGTCCTTGCA